TGGAAGGATATCTTTTTTTTTTTTTTTTTTTTTGCGGTACGTGTGCCTCTCACCGCCGTGGCCTCTCCCGTCGCGGAGCACAGGCTCTGGACGCGCAGGCTCAGCGGCCATGGCTCACGGGCCCAGCCGCTCTGCGGCATGTGGGATCTTCCCAGACCGGGGCGCGAACCCGTCTCCTCTGCATCGGCAGGCGGACTCTCAACCACTGCGCCACCAAGGAAGCCCTGGAAGGATATCTATTGGCAGGACTCTGTCTTTACCAATCTATTAGCTCTGTTTGCTTCTGTTTTTCAGGCTCTATCCACATGACAGACCTATTTCTTCCCGGCCTAGCAAGCCTGGGAGAACAGAAGCATCCCTCTCCCAAAATCCACAGGCTAACCTGAAAGAATATGATTGGCCCAGTTTGGGTCACATACCCCTTGCTAGAATTACATCACCAGGAGGTTGGGGCTCTATGATTGGCCATCCTGGATCACATGACCAGCTTCCAGGGGCAGGAGTGTCATGATTGACAGCCCCACCCGGAACCTAGGTCAGTAGAGTGATTCAAGAAGGAGTGCTGCGAGCAGAATGGGCGGGGCACCTTGATTGACAGCACCGCTAAGACTGCGCAATGCAGGGGATGATTCCCCTAAGAAAAATTAGGGTACCGTTGCCTGAAGAAGGAGAAGGGGTGCTGGGGAGCCTCAAACCCCAGGTGTCCACCGTAGAGTCCCTTCTGATTCCTGGTGTGCCAGCCATACCAGGTGGTTTTGCAAGGACAATGCTCTCCCTCCGAGTCTTTGCACCCAGAACGCCCTCCCTTGTGACTTGGCCGTTGATTAGTTCCTACACATCTTTCAGGCTCTCCGTCTTTTGGAGTCTTCCCCATCCATCCCCTTGCCAGGCTGAGTCAAGGGAACTTTGTGTTCCCGCAGGGGGGCCTGGGCTTACTTCCAGCCCCTATAGGTGGTGGCGCTGTGGTCTCATTCTCGCCTCTCCAGCCCCTATCCAGCTTCTGGCCCTGGTGCCAGCTCAATAAATAGCGATTTTTGGTCTGACTTTGGATATTCTTCCTGTTCTGTGGGGGAATTTTAGCTGCAGGAGAAAAGGGCAGCTTTTGTGCAAAAAAACAAAAATTTCGATTTCTTCTCTCCCAGTTGGGGAAATGTGTTGCTGTCAGAGCAGCGCCGAGCTCTGTGGAGGAGAGAGCAAGATAGCTTAGGGGTGTGGTTCAGGGAAGGTGTGCTGGCAGGAAGGCAAACAAGAGGTGCTTCATGTTCTCTGGGATAAAGCTGGAATGCTGGGGGAGGGGCACACAAGGGCTGAGGGACCTGGAATGGGATACAGGAAGCAACAGCCATCCCCAGGGGAGGCAGTGCCACGTGCGCACAAAGGCCTGGGCTTGGAGTCTTGGATTCAAGTCCTCTTTTGTTAATGAGCTATGTGAATTTGGGCAAGTTATCAATGTCTCAGAGCCTCAGTTTCTTTCATCTATAAAATGGGGATAATAGTGCCCACCTGACAGAGTTGTTTTAGGGTTTAAAGGGAACAGCCCAGCTTGTTCCCTGGTCTATAGTATTTGCTCAATAAACACACATGCTTCTCTTTAGTTCCTGAACAGTTCTCATAGAACCACGGTCCCAGGCCAAATACAGCCTGGCTTTTGTGAGTAAAGTTTATTAGCAAACAGCCAGGCCAACTCATTTACAGTTGTTTATGGCCTCTTTCATGCTACAGCGGTAGAGCTGAATAGTTGTGTCAGAGATCATATGGCCAGGAATGCCTTAACT